AAGATATGTTTGGTGTCCCCTAGTTTATCTTTTCTTAAGGGGGGTAGCCAAGTTGAAGAATTTGCAAGGTAAAGTATCCTACGTTCTAGTTTGCGCAGCGGAAGCGTGGTGGTACCCAAAGATGTTAGAGAAACTTAGAGTTTCAATGAGGTTTGGTTAAAGGTTCAACGAAGGTTTATCCAAGATCATCAAGATTTTGGTAGAGCTACTGGAAAAGCTTTGAAGTTAGTTTGGATGAATAGACCTCAGCTAAGTGTTTGAAGGAGTCCAAGAAGAGGTTGGAGTAAAACCTATGTATTAGCTTTGTTAGATCGGGACAAGAGCTTCATATCTACAATGACGCACCTTGTTAGGGTGTGGAATGTGCCCTTATACTAGAGGAAAAGAAGTGGCTTATTCATTAAGTCAATTAAGGAAGCGTGAGTTGAACTACCTAACATGTTATCTAGAGTTATCCATTGTGGAGCATGGAAGTACTATCTTCTTGAAAGTAAAAGTGATATATAGGATGGTCACAAGAATCTATAGGGCATCTTCACTAAGTTGGTCTTGAGCTTGTGATATCCTCGTTGGAATGAGATTGATTATGACTTGGAAAAGTGATATCACTTAGAGAAGCAAAAGTCATGGCCGATGATCTTAGCAATGGAGAGTTGTGCTAAGAAGGTTTGGGTGACACCAAGGACTAAGAGATTCGTCAGGCTCTGTTGGAAGATAAATATTTTAAGAAAGAGAATTGATATTATAGGAAAGGTAGCCTAGTGATTGGAGATACCTGAGAGTTGTTCAAGGTGTCTGTCAGAATCTTGGAATCAGTTTGACAAGTTACTTGGAGTAAGATTTACAGGTATTCAAAGTAAAGTAGGATCCTTATCAAGACGATGGAACTACACGAGAAAGTAAAGAAGAATTCAAAGACAGAGTATCCCTATCTCCTAGTCGACGTCCACGAGATTCATCTTAAGGGGTTAGAATTATAACACTCTAAAATTTGAATTTTTGGAAATAGAGCTAAAAAGATTTAAGTTGGAAATTTTGTGCACATGAAAACATAGGAAAATAAAAAAATTCATTAATTTAAAATTTATCATAAGGTAGAAACATGTTTGTTGCATTCATGCGGGTCGCACCTCGTGTTTCTATGTGCAAAGTGTGTGATTTTTATACGTTTAGGAGATGAATATCTATCTTTAGGAATTTTTCGGCTTCTTTATGGAATTTCATTCCTACCTCCTTCACCTTAATCTTTATGTTCCAAGTTTCCAACAATGTTTTTATGAGCTTCAAATACTTTATTTGGGTTAATCATGTTCCAAAGTGTCTTTGAGAATTTTCTCCAAATTTTTGGAGGTCTCGGAGTATTTTTCGTGGCTTAAATATTAATTTTGGACTTTTCTAGAATTATTTTATCCATGAAATTAATTAATTCCGAAAATAATAAATCTTTTATTTTTTTCAAAGCTCAAAGCCCATTTGCAACAATCCTAGTAAATCTCAAAGGCCCATGTATTTATTTACTAATGGATTTTAATGTTTATTTAGACCCATCAGTACAGACGGATAGTGTAACGTCAATTAGTACCGTATCGCTAGTTGACGGGGATGTGTGGAGTTTTTCTCCCTATATATATCTACCGACTCCTTGGGTAAAGCACACCAAAACTACCGTATAGAAAGCCCCTAGTTTAGAAAATCACTCGTGTAGTAAATTATATTTTTCCCTTCTTCCCTTGCCGTCGTCGTCGCCGTCGCCGCCGCGCTGCCCGTTCGTAGTTGTTTGTTGGTAAGCATCCCCACGTTTCCCTTCCTCTTTGTTAATTATACCATGCCCGTTGATTACCTCTGCTGCATGCTATTTTTCCATGTGTGATATACGTCTACATGCCAACCATGATCTATACCGCATAATACACAAGCAATCACGCCACCATCTCTGCCTTGCTGCCGGCCATGCATGCATGTTCATCACGTCCAGGCCATTCTTTGGTTCATCTCAATCTCTTGTGGCATATAGCACTGATCCTACCTCCGCCGTTGCAGCTCCTGTGCCAAGCCGAAGTAGCGGAGCCGCCGGCTGTGCGTTGCCTGGCACCATGGGGACGGCCCAGCCGGGCGAGTGCGGGCTCTTCCTCCGGTCGGCCAGCAGGCCAAGCTCCTAGCCATGGCCCTTTTCCTTCCATGCGAGCTCCCTATGCAGCAGCAGCCATGACCATGGAGGCCAGGATCTGCACGTGATAATGTAGAAGACGAGGTAATTACGAAATTGCCATTAGTTCGTAATTCTTCCGTCATTTATTTGTTTTAATTCTGTTTTGCTTCATTCAAATTTCGTGTCAATGTGATCTACATGTTAGTGCTCACGTTTTTTCGTGTTACCGGCTTATGTAGTTATAAATAAAAATTAAATTAGTTAATATGCTTATAACTAGTTTTATAATTAAAATCAATATAGGTTTTTACTTCGGTGTTTTGTATACTAATATTAATAATTGCTAACCTAGATATACTTTTAAAATAAAATTTTGTTTAGTTTAAACACATTGTCTACGGGCTAAACTAGTTTAGATGCTCTCACATGTTTATTTTCTTTTGAAAAGACAAAGTTTAACCTGATTATAGTAAGGAATGTGATAGTTTTTATAAGTTATGATATGATTAGCTTCAACTCGGGTATTTAAATTAAATTATGGTTTGTCTAATCTGAACTAATAACTTTTCCATGGCTTTGTCAACTAAAATAAATCAAGCTTATAGTCTTTTCTTTTCTTTTATAATATAAAACTCTGTAGTCGTTTTTTTACAACCGTAGTTTCGATTAGCGTGCTTTTCGTGTCTGTGTGTTCGTAGCGACGTGCAGAACAACTTTAAAACCTTTTCACTCGACGTTTCATATGTCTGGTGTACTGTTCTAATTTAGTTTTATTGTTTGCTTCATGTATGATTGCATGGATGCTTGTGTGGTGTGTTATGATCTTATCCAGTCGGTGAGCTATACGTGGTGAATCGAGAAGCAATTCATTGAAGGTTTGAACTAGAAGAAGGATATGAGTTTAAGGTAAGTATAGTATGGGATCTTCCTCGTTGTCCTATACACCTTCAATCATTTAATTCATACTGCATGTGTCTATCTTGACTGCCACTAAGAATTTTCTAGTACTTTGTACCTTGTGCCTCGATACCTTTGGGTCATTGCATTGGGTGGTCTTGCTAGTGCTCAACTACGACCATGATCTTGTAACTTGACTAATGGTATATGCAATAAACACTAAAAGATGCTTTTTAGCAATATGAAAAAAGGGGGCTAGAGCATTGGGCTACTTTATGATGCTCTAGATTTCTCTCCCTAAGGACTTATCTATAAGTGATTTATTCGGGACTTACAGTACAGCTGTAAGGGCTACATGGCTCTGGCTTTAGCTCAGTATGAGGACCTTTTCTAGCTTGTTAGTGGTTACCTTTATTGGTGTAACAATGGCTTGCCGAATCGGGTATAGTGCGGCCTCTGTCCGCATGTTTATATGCTGCGTGTCAATGTGCCATCGGGAAGGGGGGCTCTGCATCTGTTTGCCGAGTGAATCTAATGGCCCTAACTTGTTAGACGAACCTTTGAAAGGCTTCATAGTGAACCCTGCTGACCTTCCTTTGTAGTGGGTCAAGAGGCTGATCACCTTGGGCGAAAGGGTAAATCACGACTCACAGTGAAAGTGTACAACCTCTGCAGAGTGTAAAACTGGTATATCAGCCGTGCTCACGGTCACGAGCGGCCTTGGAATATTTACGGAATAGATGATGAACACTGGTGATACTAAAGATAAAGATACTTATTAATGATTACTGTTTATGCTATTCATTATTCATGTTTACCTGATCATGTGTTTATGGGTTTATGATAAACTTGTTGCTACTCAATTGCTAAAAGATGACTCGTTAAAAGCTAATCGCAGTAAACCAGTGTCAGTCTTTTGAGTCTCATGAACCCCATGATATATTTGTTGAGTACGACATGTACTTACGCTTGTTTTATTTTACACATATTTGGAAAAATCTTGGATGGGTACCAGATTGCTAGAGTTTGGAGGAATTAGGCTTGTGATCAACCAGTCAGTTGTCCCTGTGAAAGTGGAGTCTTCACCTGAAGATCGGAGTCGTCTTTTTGCTGTCTATACTCTGAGGTTATAATCTTTATACTAATACGGTATGTATTTAAGTATTGTCTTTTGATATTACCCTTATTTGTAGCTATATGTGAGATTTGACTTCCTGGGCTCACATATGGTGTGTATCTGGTTTTGTTCTTAAAACCGGGTGCTACAGTACATCATCCCAAAAAAATGCCAGGCGTAACAGTTTTTTTTCAGGTATAGACTAACTAACCCTACCTCTATGACCACCTTCGAAGAACTGAGCCAGTAAATCTTGAGATTCACGAAGTCTCGCTGTCGACAGGGACGTCGTCTACTATTAAAAGCATAGTGCTGTTAAATCCTACAAAAAATCTAGAAAAATGCGAGCATCTATGACGGTGAAGGATTTAAACCCGTGTAGGCAGGTTTTACAAAAAAAACCCAACCAACTGATCTATGATCAGTTTGCGAACAATCTTCATTTCTACTGTTTCTAAATGCAATCTCAACTTTCGTACTGACATGTGTGGTGGTCCGGTGGACATCAACAAGTGAAGTTGGTAGTCTTGCATTCAACAGTACAACTTTACAATAATTCATCATTAGGATCATTGATGATTTCCCTCTAGTTTTCAGCCTGCCAACAGACTGTTGTAAATCTAGAAAGAACTACATATATGTATGTACGTGTAGTTGCGAGTACTATGGATGTGAATGTCCTTGAGAACAGACGGAGAGCCACATACAAAAAGGCAACCCTTCAAAAGTTCATAATGAATCAATAAATACACAAACTGCAGTGCAAGAACCATTCTCCTTCAAATAAAAGTAAAAAGAGTGCGCTTTGCTTCTAAACGCCAAAGTTTGCTGTTTGATTCATCTACCATAGGAAACACCACTAAATACTTCGCCATCACCTCCAAGTGATGCTTCCCATTCAATAGAGGTGAGATGGATTTGACACAGAGTTGGCATGATGTCCCTCATCTCAGGCCGGTTCAATGGATCCTCACTTAGGCACCACATTGAAACATTTGCCATCTATAGAACAGAGAAAGGCAAGATTCAGTTATCTGAGATCTTTAAGTGAACAGTATTATGCATTTTCACTAACCTTGCACACTTCTTCTATGGGATAGCTGTCCTTCAAGTTAGGATCTATAATTGTTTCCAATGAGCTCTCTAGATCTTCTGATTTGAAGACTTTCCTCATCTGTTCACAGAATGATGTATTTCTTGATTTCATTTTATTATAATACAACCTTGCTGAAAGTTAGCATGCAAACCACAAAAAATAACGACACATTCTAAGTGCTCGCAAGGACTCTTACAATTGAGATTATTGACTTCATCTTGTTGACTTCTTTGTTATCCCGGATAAGTGCACGGAGTCCAGTAATGAGCTCTGCAAGAACTACTCCAAATGCATACACATCAGACTTGGTAGTCATGTGAAGTTCAAGAACTGACCTGCAGTATTAAATTCATATAGTGAGTACTACATATGAAACTGTACCAGCTGGTTGGACTGAAAATCATATTCAAATGAAAACTAACTCAGGTGGAAGGTATCCTGGCGTTCCAACTAAACGAGTTGCCATACATTCTTCTTCATCACTACGCTCAACAAGCTTCACTAGTCCGAAATCTGCAACCTGTTCAACAGAGAATAATCAGATGCTCATGTCTGAGCAGATACAGAAATTTGGTCGTTTAAAAGAGACTTACTTTAGCTCTTAATCCATTGTCGAGCAGAATATTGCTTGTTTTGATGTCACGATGCACATAACAGGCCTTAGTATGATCATGAATGTACTCAATACCACGTGCTGCATCCAATGCTATCTGTGTTCTAGCAGTCCATGAAAGAGATTGATGACCTGAAAAAATTATCTTGAAAGCAAGTTAGTGTATATCAAAACTCAACACCATGTACAGCCTCATGTAATAATACAGGAAATTCTGCTTCCAGAAACTTCCTATAAGAATGAATAATGTTATACCTGTTTCTTTTAAATGTATTTGTAGAAAATAATAAATAAATAATCTTAATCTTAATAAATTATGAAGACAGCATACTTACTATCATGAAGACATATTAATTTTTAAAATGTATTAGTTTACATATTTTTACTGGAGGGGGCACTGATTAAACTTAACCTACACGGTTGTTTCTCCATCGCATACCTTTCAGCAACGGATCATGTAGATGCTCACTAAGTGATCCATTCTGGACATATTCATACACAAGGTATAGGTGATCATCCCCAGCAGCATAACCAATCAACTCAACCTATTTGTAATTGAACGCATTAGGAAAGTCTGTGTTCAAGCAAAGAACCAATACAAAGATATTCACTTCCTATTGGATTTTAGGAATTAAGTACATACCACGTTAATGTGATGTACTTTGCATAGAGCTTTCAACTCAGCAAAGAATTCCTTCGATTTGCTTGCTTTCATCTTCTTAATTGCAATTTCCTATGAGCAAAGTAACACATAAGGATCTTTTCATGATTCTACATGAGACAATACAGAGATATCTTACATGTGCTCCTATGAAACCAAGGTAAACACTGCCATATCCTCCCTCGCCGATCTTTCTTTTCTCATCGAAATTAGCTGTAGCATCTCCAACTACTTTCAAACTAAAAATGGCAGGCCTCTCTGTTTGGAATGGGTCAATATCTGCAACCATTCAATTCAGAGTAATAATATAAGATACGTTATGTTTAGCTAAAAATTTAGAAGCAGAAACATGTATCACAGGAGAAGACCATTAATTCTCATGGATGGAAAGAAACGGCTCTCCAGATCAGCGATGCTGGTGTTGCTGGGAGCTCTCTCCATTTTTATTTCAGGTGCTTCAACATTGTGCTGAGAAGACCTCCTTCTCAGGCGAAGAATGACAGTGAAGACGCAGAAGAACAATATTGCAGCAGATATGGATGCTGCTATTATGATTGTCATACTACCAACCCCTAAAAAGGATCAAACAAACAACAGACAAAAAAAAAGATCAGCTTAATGGGAGCAGAAAATAGCATGTATGGTTTAATTGAATACCACTAAAGAGCACAAGAAACAAAAATTAAGCATCTGCATCTTGTGTGTTACTAGACATTAAACATCAATCATACAAACATCTTGTGGCACAAGCCTTGTGCATAAATTTTAAGTAATTTAGAATAAAGTAAATATGAAAATATTTAGTTGTGACTCACTTTTCTTAGAAGAACCAGCAACACCCATTGGAATAAACAAGATCCATCCTGGTTTAATGAAATCAGGATTTGTCACACTTGGATTCAAGTTTAAGATATCTTGTGGACTTGAATGGAACAAGCTTGCAATAGTAATCAGGGTATCTTCCTCCTGCACTGAATAAGACAATACTCCCTCTGATGCTGTTGAGGAACACCCGCATGGGAGGTGAACCGTAATTGTATTCCCAGGTGTGAATTGCACACCATCACCAACATTCATTGCAAGCCCGCTGAAGGTATTACTCTTAACTTCGTCAGGTGTGTCATCCGACTCCACTTTATATTGAGTGTCATGAAAAAAAGCAGTCGTGGTGTTGCTGATAGCCTGACACTTGCATGCCACGCCCATCAACAGGTCCTCTGAACCAGAGAGCCGCTTGATAGTCTGGATGAGAGATGCATTACCGTTGAATACAGAGACAATCTCTGACAGGTTACGCCCTTGAGGAGTGACGTAAAGGAATGAGCCGCATGAAGGGTTGATGGACACATCATTGCAATGCAAGGGTTCCCATTCCGCAGTTGATGCTATGCTGCTTCTTGGCTGATCAATGAAAGAGGCGCTTGTATAGTGGTGTTGCAGAAACAAGGTGAGGAAGAACAGGAAACCATGTTTAGCCATGGTGAGCAAGCAGAGAGGCAAATGAAGTTTGGTTACAGAGGAGGTTTATTTCATAGTACAAACCTTGGATTCTAATGCTTGTACAGTACCTTGGATGCCTGAGATGTCAATTGCCTGGCATGGCCAGCTATTGCACGCCTGCCACTGTTGTTTCTTGTTAAATCCGCTTCTCTGAAGCTCTGCACTGGTTGGAGCATAGGAAAATGACATCATAGAGTACTAAAGCTTATTACATCGTCTACCAACTCATGTCCAAAACTAAACAAATTGGCCAGCTAGCTGCAGGCCTCATGGTTTGATGGAGTCAAGCATGTATTTGGCTTCCAACATTTGGCAGTTTTTGCAAGGTTCAGTGTTGGGGCACGATGGCTCGGTCTCGAAGGTTCCCCATCCAACGTTAACTAAAGTTTGTGCGACCAGCTTCAGGATTTCAGGAAACAGGCGGAGGCAGGCTTTGCTCCAAGAAGATGGGGTGGAATTAAGCCTTCGGAGGGTCCGGAAGCCACCGGTGGAGGCTCTTGCAGGAGGCGTACGGAGCTAAGCCTTCGGGTGGGGACCCGAAGGGCGGCAGAGGCTGGAAGAAGCGCGGCGCAAGACAGGAGCGGATAGGGCAAAGACCTCTGACCAAATGAGGAAGCCGCCCCATGGGCCTTAGCAGGGCTTACCAAAGGCCCACGAAGGACGATTGCTTGGCTCGACAAAGGCCCATAAGAGGAAGGTGGTAACCAGAAGACAGAGACAAGATAGCCCTAAGGGGGAATTAGGAGAAAGGATCTCAGAGGAATATATCCTGGTTGGCCAGGTGCAAAAGTGTAATCCGTGAATATGGTGTAATCTCCTACAACTAAAAAGAAAAACTAAGACAATTTTTTTGTGCGACTTTTTTTTTGGGTCGCTCCTTCCTTCCGGCCGTGCAATACCCCGCGCGATAGAAAAAAAATGTCATCCCTGTGATCCCCGCTCGCTTTGAAGAAAACAAATCGATTACCTGATGCCACATGCATGGAAGGAAACAATCATAAAGTGCTCCTCTCTCACTCGGTCAGATATCTTCCATCTCCACGTAAACCGAATCGTCGATCGACGCCAGGCCAACATCGACGCGCCCCTCCTGTCCATCCCGTGGTGCGCTCTCGTGAATCCACGCCACCCTGCAGAAGACACCGGACACCACAACGCCCCACCGCCACCGCATGCCAGGCACTCGTCGGTCGGACGCCACGACGCCAATCCGGCCCTCAGACGCCGCCAGAACGCCCCCTCCTCATCCGATAGCCATGCCGTCGACGTCGACCGCCGCCGGACGACTGCGAAGAGGCCCTCGACGATGCCGCGCTAACAACAGGCGACTACAACTGCTTTATCAGGTGCGGTTTATGATTTCATCTTATTCTGGAAGATAACTTTTTTCCTTCAATTTCCTTACTCAGCCAATGATTTCATGATAATCATGAGAAACACTACTATAAGATGATCGCTGCATATTTGAGATTATGCAAATTTTATTTAATCATGTTCCTGTGTGAATGAGGTGCTATTGGGACCTGCTCATGTGACTGCATCCTACCTCTCCCTATCCTCACCATTTCTATTAAGATCTCCTCCGGCGTCGTCCTCCTCTGCGATGCCCTCTCCACCAGGGCGAGGTCCATAGGATCCAGCGGCAACAAGGTTGAGGGAGTCACGTGGTAGCGAGATCTATCAGCAAGCATCCTGGTTCTAGTGTATTATTTGATTTATTTCTCGATACACTGCTACGAGGAACTGTACTAAGCCATGCGTTGCTGCAGATGGCTCCTGGTGTATTTTTGTTCGATCCTGCTGGACAAGAAGGCCTGAGTGACGACAACTCAGGCAACAGAATTGGTCTGCCATCGTGGTAGTTTAGGATCGACGCCGACTTGCTTGATGTAAGTGTGGCCGCCATTGTCTTTTTGTTTCAATTCTGAGACTAATGGTTGTCTGTTAGAGTTCAGCAAATTCAGTTCAGTTGTGCAATAAATTTAGTTTTTCACTATCATCAGTCATCAGATATTCATATTTTGAATCTGAATATAAATAGTATTAGGAGTCTGTATACTTGAAACAGTGTGCAATACATTTTCGTTCAGCATTGATACTCGTCAATCAAGGACTCCACAGCTGGTGGCGGTTGCGGAATAAGTGGTGGCACCAGCTCAGGTGCTCCCTGCGGATGCTAGGGTGAGCTGGATGGGCTGGAGAATCTGTATGTCAAGATGTCCATGCGCAGGGTCTCCGGCAGCCAACTATTTTTTACTATTATTGAATTGCATAAACTGTTTTTTTTTCCAAGAAAATGAAGTTAAGACAATTAGTTGATTGGGATTATCATTTACTCTTTTTTTAAATAGTGGTCTTCATCTCGGAGCCCTTCATGCAGTTTAATAATGGCTGGGGAGCTAGGCTTGCGAGAACTTACTCTTAATTGGGTTGCGAGCTAGGGATGTAGCACTTCAATGGGTGTCTTGGTTGAGTTCTACAATTGCCAAAAATTGATGGTGCTGATAAGATTGACAATCCTATAACTCTGCAATACCTTTCTTTTTTTTCAAAAAAAGGAGGGCAAATGCTACTTATGGTCGAATCCATGTTCTTTTTGTTGTTTTCATTTGATGCCCATAGCCCACATGTTAACTTTCAGATGTGTTTGTAAAGAATCAAAAGGAGTTGGCCTAATGCCAATCTTTCTTGTCGTCTTTTTCATTCTTTATATTTATATAAATTCTCACCAAGTACATGGCTAGGTAATGGCCGTAATGTTGCATCCTTTAGCCAGTGTGCCCCCTTGAGATCTACTGATTGCTATCTTATGCATATTGTCTTTTATTTGTAGGGTAGAGAGCGGTCGGGGACCTAATACCAGGGTACCCCAGAAGGTGGAACCAATAACCATCGAACGTTAAAAACTTCAGGACGAACGAGGGCGCCGCTGCGTTCCTTGCCCGAATGACGAAAGTTAGGTTCCGTCTCGCCCGACGCCTTTGGGCCAGCCCCGCCTCGCCCGAGGGCAAAGGGCTGGCCTCCGTTCCGCCCGACGCCTTCGGGACAGCTCTGCCTCGCCCGAGGGCTGAAGGCTAGTCTCCGCCTCGCCTGAGGGTTGAGGGATACACTCCGCCTCGCCCGACCCCTAAGGGGTGGGCTCAGTCACGCCGAGGGCAAAGGGCTGGCCTCCGTTCCGCCCGACGCCTTCGGGATAGCTCCGCCTCGCCCGAGGGCTGAAGGCTAGTCTCCACCTCGCCCGACGACCGAGGACGAACCTTGCCCCGTTCGATGTCCAAAGACTAGTTTCATCTTACCTGATAACTTCTCTCCCGTTCCCTCATGATGATGGGTACAGAGCAAGACAAGACGTTCGGGTCAACCACGGCTTCAAGGACCATACCCTGCGCCCCGACAGGAAAGGTACTGCCAGGGAACGACTGGGCAGGTGCTTTAAACCCTTCCGAGCGCCATAGAGCCCAAAAGGTATTGCAAGCGCGTACTCCTCGCCCTGTAGAGTTGTAGGCGCCGCCTTCAGCTCTGGGACACGGAACCCAATGAAGATACACGACAACCACTACACTCTAGAAAAGGATTTGTGATCTCCACGAATGACGGACATGCCGTCACCACGTTATGGACCCAAGGGAGCGACGCCCGCTTCCCGACCCCTCGGGTCCACCAAATCAAAGGACCTTGCCCACAGCGCTACTCCGGACCTCGACTACGCGTCCCTTCGACAGAGACTCATAGGAGCCAGAAGGCGTGCGGAGCAAGGCTGGGCGAGGTTCATAAATCAAAACCATGGTACTACAGCCCATACCCTGCGCGGGGCACTATTCTGTAACCATCCTGACATTCTACAGAGACATCGACAGTATTGTAGGCGCTTATCATCCTTTCACACCCATCAGAATGGGTAACGAGGCTGGGTAGACGTGAGCCACAAGGCTAGGTAGAGCACGCATCCTAAACCCTGACCCTTGTAAAGCCGTCCCCTTCATCTATAAAAGGGGATGCGCTTCCTCCAGCAATGGGGGGGGGACAAAAAACAACGCAACACGCACACATAGTCATGCTGCTACCAAGCTCTTGGCTTTCTTTCGACCCTTCCATCAGAGACTTGGGACCTATCCATCTCTCGATCGTTTGTAACCCCTACTACGAACCATTCACGGTGCTAATAACACGAGCAGCAACAAACTGGACGTAGGGATATTCAGCCCGAACCAGTATAAATCTTGTGTCCTTTGGCGCACCATCCGAGCCTAATGCGCATTACTATAAATTTACTTGCCGGTGCTTGTACGAAACACCGACATTTGGCGTGCTAGGTAGGGGCCTTGCGCGTTCCAAATCAGGCCTCGGATGGCCACCCACGCAATCAGCTAGGCCCCGGGCGCACATGTGCGTTTTAGCGACCTAGATTTCATCGTCACACTAGGAGGAGAACTGGCACTGACCCACACGGCCGCACAGTCTCTCCCTTCCATCAACCTCAGCCGTCTGAGGCTTGAGGGCCCGCGGGGCAACTCCCTTGGACCCCAGTTATCCAGGGAGCCCCCGCGCAGCATCACCCTATTTTCGAAAGGCCCCGTACGAAGCGCCCTGACAGCGTTTCCATTCGGTCTCCGCAACGCCGCGGCGACCGTCGGCCACCTTCTGGCACTACACATGGTTCAGCCGCCTACGGACAGCGAGTTCGTGGGGGTAATCGAACACGATCTGGAGACACTCTACGGGCTCCTCACGGAGGAACCAGAGTCATCCTCCAGCTCTGACTCCAGCAAGGGGAGCCATCACCCTTCCCGGGAATGCTTCATGACGCAAACCCCCGAGGGACACATCCAAAGCGTCTCCGGAGAAGAAACAACCCCAACAGGCAACCCCGACGCTAGGATCAAGGCGGAGACAACGGCTCCATCTCACATAAGGATGGAGCAGCTAAGGGCACGAAAGCTGGAGATCAATGACACCGGGCAATAGCTTGTCTGAGAGTA